ATTGGCTGGCTTGCCCAGGCCAGAGGTGGTTAACAATCTTGTCATAAACGGGAAGCAATCCTCTGGGGTACAGTCAAGCCAAGGCTGGTGGGCAGATGTGCAGAGGGAAATAGGGCCTTTCTGCAAGTGCAAAGCCTAGAGCAGGCCTTCTCCACATTGGGAGGACAACTTTCCAGGGAGCAGGCAAACCAAGACTGGTGGGTGGGTATACAGAGGGAGACAGGGCACTGATGCAAGCACTAGGCCAGGAGCTTGTGGTGTACATGTCAAGAGGGCTGCAATAAGGTGGTCACTGGGCCTGGGCCAGGGCCAGGGCTGCAAGGTCTTCAAGGGAATGTTTGTTCTGAGTGTGCAACTGGGAAGAGCATCACCAGTTGTCCACGCACACCACTGACAGACCATGCAGCAGGAGCAAGAAAAAGTAAAATTCATCACACAAACCAGGAAGAGAAGCCTCCTTCCTCGGCGATGTCCCTCCAGCATCCTTTACTGACAAACTTAACATCATGCTCACCCTGAAGGAGAAATGCTTGAAGAATCCAATCTACCATCACAGAGCAGGGACTGAAGGGTAAATTTGGAGTTCAGAAGAAATTAATTGATAACTGGCCCTATCCACTCCTTTGGCTACTTAGCTTCCAGATGCACCGTTCTACACACATTTCAACTCCTGTACAACAACAAAGCAACTAACTCTACATTCTTGTTAGTAAAGTCACTCTTCCCTAAAATGAGAAGACACACAAAGTCCCAACAGTCATTGAATCCATTGCTGACTTGTTTAATTACTCCTCACTTAGAGTCCCACTGAATATTTTGTTAACTGAAGACTAAATTGTAAAGTTAACTTCCAACAACTTGTAGATAAAAAGGGGAAGGAGGAGAAAGAAGAAAATGGTTAGATACATAAATAAACACAAGCAAAAATAATATATGCAAGGCTACTACAGTCCTTGTTTCTATACTTGGGCACTAGGTCATAACTGATATCTGCGGCTTTCGTCTTCAGCTGTCCATTCCGTATTTCTCTCGCCTACACTCAGAAGCTCTGGATTCTTTACCTGGTAGAATGATACAAACCTTCATTCTTGAAGGTCCCTGCTTTTTTCTAGTTGTAGTTTTCCATTAACAAGGAAGTACTAAGAGGCATCTCAGAAAGTCTCCTGGGTTCCAGACATAGTCCTCCCTGCTTCCACTGTGTAGCAGCAATGGTAATTAGGATCAGTTACTACAGCTGGTAGATTATCCCCCTTTTCCTGACAGGTTGGTTCAGTGGTATAAGCAATGCTAAATGGCCAGCTGGCAGTCTGTGGTAGGCAGAATTCTAATATGAACCCCAAGATTTCTGCCCCCTGGTGTGTGCACCCTATATAAGTTCCTCCCTTGAGTGTAGTTGGGACTGTAAATATAATTCACTATCACCCTCATGATTATGTTACATTATATGACAAAAGGGATTTTGTAGATTCAGTTAAGATCCTTAATCAGTTGACTATAAATTAATCAAAGGAAGATTATCCTGGATAGGTCTGACCTAATCAGGTGATCCTTTTAAAAGCAGAAGGGTTCTCCTGCTAGTCTGGAAGGAAAACAGCCATGTTTTGAGAGGAGGGGCCACACGCAAGGACCTGAGGGCAACCTGTAACAGCTGAGAGCAATCACGGCTGACAGCTAGCAAGGAAACAGGCCCTCAATCACACAAACTGCAAGGAACTAAATTGTGCTAACAACCATATGATCTGGGAAGAGAATCCCTAGTCTCAGATGAGATCACAGCCCTAGTCAACACTTTGATTTCAATCTGCTAAGACCCTGAGCAGAGAATTCAGCTAACCTGAATTTGGGCTCCTGACTCACAGAATCTGTGAAAAAAATAAATTTGTCTTGTTCTAAGCCACTAAATTTGTCCTAATTTGTTAGGCAGCAATAGAAAACTAATATACAGTCTTATCTTCCAATTCAGTGGAACCATTTGTGTGTCCTCTGGTGAATGCATTCCTCTCTTGGGGACCAAGATCTCCGAACAAGCACAGCTCAAAGTTGCCAGGATAGGAAGCAAAAATTCTACAAGTGGGTCATTAGGTGTAATAGTGACAGAAGTCACTCCCACTTCCATTCCTTGTATTCTGGCTGTGGGAAGGACAACACTATTTCATTGTCTCTGATTCAAAGCATATACTAAATCCTGTCAAACAGAATCCTGCTTCCACTTTTAAGGAACTTTATGATTACACTGACTCACCTGGATAATCCAGGATAATCTCCCTATTTTAAGGTCAATTGATTAGCAACCTTAATTCCATTTGGAGCTTAAATTCTCCTTTACCATATAAACTAACATGTTCACAGGTTTCAGGGATTAGGACATAGACATCTTTGGTGGGCTATCATTCTGTGTACCACAAGTATGGACTTGCAATAATGACGCAGGGGCCATCCTTAAGGTACCTGGCAAAAATTTTATCAATTTGGATTAATTTCTACCCACGGCCATTATTATTTCATTTAAACTCCCTTCCCCTTTCCGGGTTATTTTGAAGCAAATTCCAGACATCATATTATTTTATCTTAAATATTTCAGTGTCTCTAAAAGAACTATTAAAAAATAACCACCATACTATTATTACACCTAAAAAATAATTATTTAGTATCATTAAATATGTATTCAGTGTTCAAATGTCCTCAACTCTCTCAGAGATTTTACTTTTGTTTCATGTTTAATTTGCTTGAATTGGCGTCCAAATAAAGTCCAAACATTGCAATTTGTTGATAAAATCTAAAGTCTCTTTTAATCCATAAGGTTTTTTTTTTTCTCTTTTCTTGCAATTTATTTGTTGAAAAAACCAAGTTGTCTTTAGAATTTCCCCTCAGTCTGGATTTTGCTGATCATATTTTTGTGATATCCATGTTCCTTTATCCTCCATATTTCCTTATAATTAATAGAGCTAGAGGCTTAATGATATCCAGATTTGATTGTTTCTTGGCCAAACTACTTCTTTTTTTTATTTACAAATTTTTTAATGACTTGCATTTTTTGTATTGTTGTACTTTAAGTGAAAGTTTACAATTCAAGTTAGTCTCTCATACAAAAATTTATACATACATTGTTATGTGACCCTAATTGCTCTCCCTGTACTGTGACAGCACACTCCTCCTTTCCACCCCTGATTTCCCATGTCCATTCAACCAGCCTCTGACCCTCACTGCCTTCTCATCTCACCTCCGGACAGGAGCTGCCCATTTAGTCTCATGTATCCACTTCAGCTAAGAAGCACACTCTTCATGAGTATCATTTTATGCCCAATCTTTGTCTGAAGAATTGGCCTTGGGAATGGTTTTAGCAAAACTACTTCTTGAGTGGTGTTATATACTTTCATCAGGAGGCATGTTCTCTAGTCTTTCTGGAATGTTATCAGTCAGTGATGATCATTGCTAGATCCTTTAATTCATTTAAAAAAAAACAAAAAACAAAAAACCAAACCCGCTGCCGTTGAGTGGATTCTGACTCCTGGAGACCCTATAGGACAGAGTAGGACTGCCCCACAGGATTTCCAAGACTATAATCTTTATAGAAGCCGACTGCCACATCTTTGCCCAGTGGAATGGCTGGCGACTTCAAACCACTGACCTTTCAGTTAGCAGCCGAGTGCTTAACTACTGCTCTACCAGGGCTCCTTTTTAATTCATTAGGGGTTGCAAAAGGGTGATATTTTAATTCTGTCATTCTATTTGTTACCTATATCAATATGCTAATTACTATAAAAACGTAATACTCGATTACTATGCTATTACATATCCCTCTATAAAGAGAAACTTCTGTTTCTCAACAATTTGTTTACCCAGAGATTCAGTTCATGTAGTACATGTAGCTCATATAGGGAAAACTGAATAAATACTTTTTTTCTATTTACCAATTTTATCATTATAGACTCAGACATTTAAATATATTTGATGTGTTTCAAACTATTGTGGTTATTATCTTTACTGATGCATAAATTGTGTCATCTTTGCTACTGGGAACTTATTCAAGTTGGCTTTTGGATCCTTTTGAATTGTTTTTCACAGTTGCCTTGTTTTCCGGTGTGACAAGATGTTCCAGGCTCATCGTGTACATTTTCTGCCCCAGAGGTAAGATCATCCATTTCTCCAAACAGCCTTAATTCCTTTTAGTGGGAAATGATACATAGAGATCATAATTTGGGCATTACTGGATTAGTCATTGTTTCTAGGCCTTTTCCCTAAACAAAGCTAGGAGATTTTGTTATTGTTTTGTAGTTGTTGTTTAAAATAAAATAATTTATGAGTTCATACTGATACTTCCAATTCAAGTCCAGGACTGCACTAATTTATTTAACTTCATCACTCTTACACTTACACTTTCTTTATGAATTCTTTCTGACCACCTCAGCCAGAAGTATTGATCTCTCCTTCCCTTGGAATAAACCACCCTCTCAACAATTCTTATGGCAATCAGCACACTGCTGTTGTTAGCTGATGTTGAGTCTGCCCCTAACTCATGGCACCCCCATGTGTTACAGAGTAGAACTGCTCCATAGGGTTTTCTTGGCTGTAATCTTTATGGAAGCAGTTCACCAGGCCTTTCTTCCACAGTGCCACTGGGTGAGTTCAAACTGCCAACCTTTAGGTTAGAAGCTGATTGCAAACCGCTTGCTCCACCCAGGCTCCTATGAACACATTAATCTTTGATTTATTGATATTTTTGTATATATGTGATCTTACCAAATGGTAAGCAACCTGAGAGCAGAGTTTGTACATTTTTACTCTTTGTTAAATAAAGATAAAATTCCTAAAGTGCTAATATATTTCCTAACACATAAGCACCTAGTTTTGTATTCCCCGAAATATGGAACATTACTATACTTTTACTAAAAAGTAATTCATGATTGTTAAGTGAATAAATACAAAGTTAGGTTTATATTAAACTTCTCAGATATAAAGTAGTATAAACTCTAATTTTAATGGCAATTAATTTAAGATTAAAAGTTGTTTGAAATAAGTTTTATTTAACAGATATAAAACAATTTTGAACATTTACAACTTGTACAAAGACTGGTAGCTTTAATATTTTTAAAATGCTATACTAAGAGAATAGGTAAAACTAAAGACCACAATGACAATCTAAACTATAGGTTCAAGGAATGGGACTATGAAGAAAGTATTCCAGTCAACTACAAAATCCTGAAACCATTTTTGATTGAAGTGAAATGAATAATACTAGATTTAAACACAGTATGAAATCACACTTTTGTCATGTTTAGCTTCATTTTTCATTCAGATGCATACGTAAACATGATAGAGAATGTCATTCTTTAAAAAAAAAATTCAAAAGTATAATAAAAAAGAGGTAGGGAGTGAGACTTCAAGAATTTATTTTGGTAGTTCTTCTATAATGATGCGAGACACTGAATTCCATCCAGTAGAGGCATCTCCTTTTGGGTAATCTGTACAAGTACCAAGCCAAATAGCAACATCCACTAATCCAGCACCAATTCCTTCACAAAGCCCTTCCACTGCAAAACAAAGATGAAAGTTACCTCTTTCTTTAGAACAGAAAGTAAAAACCTTTACTTAAATTGTATTATTTTAGCAAGCTAGATTATAAATCTGTTTAATGTATGGCTAAAATTAAAAATTATAATACTTGATAAGGGTTTAATAAAGATAAGTTCTCTTTTTCTTGGTACATAAATATTTTTAAGGTATATATATGTACATATTCTCCATTTTATGATATAAACTAAACAAGCAGGTTGCTTACAGATTTCAGTCATAACAACAGAATTTATTTAGTTACAGAGATAGCCTAAAATTAAAAAAAAAAAAAACAATTCATTTGACTAAACCAAACCAACAGACACCTATTCTTTTAAAAGACAAGACTTTGATTTGATATGCAAGCCTATTTAAATAAAGCCCTTTCAGGACTTACTTGTACACTTGATGCTTTTCAAGCAAAAGAAAGGGCTTTTATAACAGTCAAAGAAATTCTAGCATAATCATTATACCATTCCTTCAATCTGGGAATCAAATTTTACAAAGAATTTCCTCACAATAAAACAAAACAAAACATAGACTCCCCTTCCTCTGTGTTCTATGCTTTGTAAGTACATGTCTTCTTCACATGTCTTCTGGACTTTCACATACTAACATACAACTTGCATTCCACCTTTCCAAGGCGATTCCCCTATGTTAAAAAACATATTTCCCCCAATGGTCATTTTAACAGGCAAAAAGACATGGCACCTGTGATGTCTCTGTAAGGAGGAAAGAAACTGCAAATTGGTAGATTCTTTAAGAAAATGAATCCTGATATATAAAGAGGGTACTGGATGACCTCACGTGACTGGTGAGATTTCCTGTGTGGTAGAGTTTAGTGCATTCCAGCTGAGCCCTAGGGATTTAGGGCTGAAGCAATATGCTTCCATCAGCTATCACATCAGTGGCTGTAGGGCGGTCCCTCAGATTCCAGTAACCTGGCTCCGGTGCAGGCCCTTTCCAAAGTCTGGATAGCTAAGCAGTAGACCCATAATTCCATTTAATCTGGTATTCTCATACTGTGCCAGTGAGAGTGCCCAGAAATAATCATGTGTCCCCAAAGTCTTGACATCCGTGACCCAGAAATTTGTTCGCTCACCCTACAGCCTTTTGACTCAGGAAGTCAGACAAGCTTGGGTCTGGCATCAAGTTTACATGAGAGAGATGAATGGTCACTTCATGGTCTTTGGCAAATGAGATTATGTTTGTTGAATGAATAATGTAGTATTGCATTATGTAATGTGGTATTTACTCGAGTGATGTACTATTGCAGCCATTAAACACCTAAAATACGTTGGATAAGGGATTCTCAACCTGTTTTCCTCCTAGACCCATGTAGCAGATGGTATTCAAATATTCATCAGACTCCCATGGGCTTATCCAAGGTTTTAAGTGATCCTCTGATGTGCTAACTATAAATTCACTCTCTTTCTTTCTCTCAAGAGAGAATATTAGTTTACAAGAGAAAGTGATTATATTATAGAGGTAACCTGTAATTCACCTTAATACAAAAACTGTTATTAATAAATTACTTGTGACACTCCACCCAACTGATCACATCAAATGAATTTCCACACTATGGTTGGGAGATGCTATGTTAAATAATTCATTAAGTATATTATGCATGTACAGGATGCATGCAGTTCCTGGCCCTAAGGGTTTACATTATAGCAAGATAATAACACACACTTTAAAGATAACATAATAGAAAATAGGTTGCTTATATCAACTACTATTTAAACACATACCACTTCCTAATCAAATTTTATATTTTATATCTAGGCTTTTCTTATTTCAGAGACTGCTTTTCAGATAGAAAGCGTGTGTTCCTTTTCAGTACGTCTATTTAAGGAGGTAGTGAAAAGGCTTTTAAATCTGATTAAAAAGAGGGCTAGGGAGACAAAAGAGCAGGGTTCTGCTTTCTGCTTTCCTGCACACTGATTCTACTCTCCTCTTGTTGTTGTCCAGTGGATTCCGACTCATTGTGACCCCATGTGACAGAGTAGAACTGCCCCTTACAGTCTTCTAGGCTGTAAATCTTTATGGGAGCAGATCACCAGGTCTTTTCTCCTGCAAAGTGACTGGTGGGTTCGAACCACCAACCTTTTGGTTAGCAGCCAAGCACTTAACCGTTTTGCCACCAGGGCTTCTCTCTCCTGGGTCAAACCCACCAAAACTCATCGCCATTGAGTCAATTCTGACTCAGAACAACCCTGTAAAACAGAGTAGAACTGCCCCATAGAGTTTCCTAGGCTGTAATCTTTACGGAAGCAGACTGCTACGTCTTTCTCCTGCAGACTGGCTGGTGGGTTCGAAATGCCGACCTTTCAGTTATCAGCTGAGCGCTTAACCACTGCACCCGTAGGGCTCCTCTTCTGCTGGGTAAGACCCTTTGTTTCCCTGGGCCCTCTCTATGCGTAAACAGAGAGTTAAAATATCTTCTCCGCCCTCTCTAGGATGTTGTAAGGACTTGAGAAAAAATGTGAAAGGGAAACCCTAGATTTCTTAGGGATAAATGTGCTATGTAATACATATATCAGGCATGTTCTCTTATGGGATACCACCTCTACCACAAGTGAGGAAACCAAAATGGCCTGCGGGCAAATATTGTTAGTGGTGTCTCTGGTTGTCAACAAGAGATTAATAGGTGATTTTTTTTCCCTTCTACTTTTTGGTATTTTCTAAACTTTCTTTAATGAACCTTAAAATAGATGGTTTAATTGAATGTCTTTTCTCTCTTACTAGCAGGAAAAAAACACAATGCAGGAATGATATAGGAACTTTTTTACAAATTCAACAGAACGTTTCCACCCTTTTAAGGAAAAGGCAGAGAAATCAGTCTCTTTACCAGTCTAAGCTAGGGCTTCTCAACCTTGGTCTAAACTAGGGCTTCTCAACCTTGGTCTAAACTAGGGCTTCTCAACCTTGGTCTAAACTAGGGCTCCTCAACCGTGGCCGGATATGAGAATAACCTGGAGATATTATGAAAGTCCCATTGCCTACTTTGCATCCAGACCAATGACATCAGGCTCTTTGGAGGGGTGGTACCAGGCATTAGTATTTTTTAAAGTTCGCCAGGTGAGCCCAGTGTGCAGCCAAGATTGAGAACCACAGCTCTGTGGCATTATTGACTGTTTTGCCATTTCATCTAACAGTGATTTTTCAACCCCGAGGACACATCAGAATCACTAGAGAATATTTTTAAAAATACAGATGCTGGAGCCTTGTCCCCAGAGATTCTGATTCAGTTGGTCAGGGATGAGACCGAGGCATCCGTAGACTGTATTTTTTCACAAATAACACGCCCTCACATACAACGAGCAAGTAATGGGGGCAGTGTTGCGCCGTTGGCAAAAGAACATGTAACGTGCGTGTTATTTGCGTTAAAATAGGGTATATATTTTAAAGATCCACAGGTAATTCTAAAGAGAAATCATGGTGGAGAATCAGGCACTGAAAACTTGCTATAGCCTCCCTTTATAGCAGCCTAGTGAGCAAGCCCGACAGTGGGAGTCAAAACTAATCTTGAGTCTCCGAAATTTGAGGCAGAGTCATTTTCCTACATACCGGAAGAAGTCCGATGAATATTAATTGTTGAATTCAGCTCAGGGCTTCCTTGGTCCAAATAAATTATAGCTTCAATGGGAAGAGGTCCTGAACATTCAGCTCCATTGAATGTGAAATACCAGCGCTGGCAGCATGCATTTCTGCATTTTAGCCGAAGTGAGCCACTAAACAAAACTCTTAGAGCACTGTTAGAACGCATCTTTGTAAACGTACACTCCTATCACAAAGACAGAAATGGGGTTTAATTAGCATTTTCCATTTTATTTGATTAAAATATGCTTTGAAATTATATTGTAAATTTTAACTATCTATCCTTTTCCCCAGGCCACATTTAAAAAGCTTAACTTTTACAGAGAGAAGTTCTGTGCAAGAGGTAAGAGACTTTGATATAGGAACTCTAAGAAAATCAGATTATGGCTTTCTTAGCATTATTTGCCCCATTGAGGGCCTCTTTCATTTTAATTAATTTATTTTTATTGTTGTAGTTTAAGTGAAAGTTTACAATTCAAGTTAATCTCTCATACAAAAATTTATACATACATTGTTATGTGACCCTAATTGCTCTCCCTATACTGTGACAGCACACTCCTCCTTTCCACC